AGACGATCATGACGAAATTTCGCTTCGGATAACGAGCAAGAACGGCGTCAGCACGTTTTTCGAGATGTGGGGTTGAATGAGACACACTCGTACGGATGGCTCGTCCGTCTCGGTGGTCAGCGGCAGCTTGCATTGGATCGTTTGTTTTGCCGTTTTCTTCTCGTGTTGAGTGTAGGACACGGAATACGGGATACGTTCTGAGATACTACGCCTGATTTCACGAAGGGTAAGCTCATTGTCCCGTCTTAAGGGGTGTCCAAACAGGCGTCTACAAATTGCACGACTCCGACAAATCATGAAAATTGAAGCGGGCGGGTCCGCTTCAATTTTCACGATTTGTCGAAGTCGTGCGTTTTGTGGTGTCCTGTTTGGACACCCCTTTAGGCGGATGTGACCCTTGGTTCTGTTTTTGCTTTACAAGAAAGGGCGTTAAACGAAAGGGTGCATACGAGTAGCGCCTATTACTGGGCCTCGCGTAAGGAGAGGGGAAGTGGAAAGGGGGGGTACAAAGCCAAGAGCAAGCACCGACACGCATAAGTTACAATTAAACGTCTGAGCAGGTCACGTGCTTCAAGCGTATCTTTGAAATCATCTGTGTTTGATAGAGTAGGAATGCAACCTGGCAGATTTTTTTTTTTTTTTTTTTTTTTTTTAAGGCGGTCGAATGCCGTGAGATTTTTTTGAGTCCGATGTGCTGAAGTTGGTAGGAGGAAAGGGGTGCACATTAAAGACCCCAGGCTAGCGGTTGTACGGCACTGGCTAAATCGCTCATCTAAAGCGAGTGACTCGTCGCAACTTTGAAATGGCTGACCAACTACTCGCTGTATAAATATCCACACGACCCCAATTATAAGAGGGAAGTTTAGTTGCACTTCGAATGAAGAATAGAAAAACAAGTAAAAAAAGAGAGTATTTGGAAGAACAAACAAAGAAGTAGAAGTGTGCGAATACTGTTTCGAATCGAATAGCGCAGTATGATCTCTAGCACGAACGCTGTAAAGCGAGCCGGCGTGTCGTGGTTTTTTCTTCTTCGATTCGAACCATTAATCTCACAGCCCCTAAAACATGAGGATCGGGAACGAGCGGGAAATATAAACACCAGGAAGAGAGAGAGAGAAAAAAAAAGCATTAAAGAAAGGGTTTGATAAAACACCGAAGAACACGCTTATATGCAAATTCGTAGTGCAGCAATTCGCAGTGCACATGCACAGTGTCAACGTGCGACAATCGCATTCTAGAAACCTGCAAATGAATACCCAAGTTCAACCGGTAGGGGATATCTATATAGACCAACTCAACTCTCTGGCGCCACACCACTGCGGTGGTGCTGCTGTCAGTACTGGGCACGCGCAGATGCTTCGCCTAGCGCAGTGCCCACACCTTTCTTTTGATCCCCTCTTTCCCCATCCCCAACCTGGAACTGGCTTGCGGTGTGGTTAATCGACGGTGTGGTTAATAAGTTCCAGGCTTCCTTTCTTTTCAACACTTCTCTCTCGTTCTCTCTGCGGGCAAACGCGGTTTTGTTTGTAAAAAATTGTTGGTCGAGACTCCGTTTCCCTTTAAGACCGACCGCAGCCCACGCTACGATTCGATGTAGCCAATCAAGCTGCACCGAAAGGGCATCGTCACGACGCCGGCTGTCTTTGTGCCTCTAGCTCAACACAGCAGAAAGCCTTAGAGCGATAAACTGGCAACTGAAAGTGACCCCCCCCCCCCCCGACCGCCGCCATGTTGCACATTTGTGACCACTAGACAGGTGACCTTATAGTTTTACGTCTAGACTCTAACAAAGTACCGCGCACATATAATTGCTTAATGATCTTTAATAATAGTACCGACGAGATATCTTATGTTTTGTTCGTTTTAAGTCCAAAGTGTGCTTTTACAACGAAAACTCGGGCAGCTTCGCAATGTCTCCGCTCGATGCCGTCAGCCGCGGTGCTGTATTTTGGGTTCTCCCTGGGGCTAACAATGTAAAAAAAATAGTTTTTTTTTTTACAGCGATCACAGTACAGATCTTGGCTCAGTTTTGCGTAGAAGGCCTCACGATTTGCTAAGGTCACGTGTCTAGAGGTAAAAATCATACAACATGGCGGCAGCCAGGTGAGGGTCACTTTTGCCTGGTGAACGGGGTACCAATTTATGGCTCTAAAGGGCCGTTCACACTCTTGCAACCAAGGAGGTTAGAAGCACTAGGAGGGGGCACGTTGCAATATTGGTGAAGCCTAGTCATAAAAAGTTTAAACGATTTTGTGCCCAGCGTGACCGCAGATCTCTCTGGCGATTGGTGCGCGTGACATGTCACGTGTGAGATGGATGGTTGATTGTAGAATGACTCCTTGCAGGCTTGCGCGCGCTCCGTCCGGTAGGTTTTATCAGTTCGAAGGCTAGACTGTGGTGTGTTCTAGTACCCCATAGCAAGACGAAGGCTAGCTACGGTCACGTGATGTGGTCATGTTGGCATGGTAAGTGAGGAGAGTAAGGAGGAAAATGAGAAAGAGGCGAGGCGTCAGGAGAGCATGGCTTGTGGAGGCTACGCGGCCGACGTCATGCCCTCTCCTACCCTTCTATCCTCCTTGCTTGCAACCGAGTACGACCGAGAGAGACGAGACCTGATGAAACCTCTTAAAATTTCTTAGGACAAGAGAACACTGGCACTCTGGCGCCATCTATGCGGTGACTCCGGAACTGCATTTCACAAAAGCGGAGGTCTTGCGGGATTTCCGAGGTCAAATGTGCGTAATACCTATAAGAAAGTCTCGTTTATAACGTTGACAAAACTTTTTCGAGGAAAGAATGAAAGGGTAATGGGCGAGAAAAATAGAAAATATGCCGGACCGCCAAATTCACACACCTACCAAAAAGATGGCGCCAGTATGTCCTCTCGTTGTAAGAGATATTAAGAGGTTCAAAGGCACCCCGTTCTTAGAAATCGCAAGTGTGTGAACGGGCCTTAAGCCCCTCTACCCCGTTGCTTTGCTATGACCAATCACGCTAAACAAAAAAAGAAAAGCGCAAGTTGGCGGGCCCACTACTGAGCGTGAATGCTTCAGTCGGTGATAGCAGACACATGATTACGACGAACGCTGTGACGATGCACTTTTGTCACTGCTCGATTGGCTTGCTAGAGTCGCAACGTCGGCTGCTACTGAACTTGAAGTGGAGAGTACAGAGCCCGCTCGAAGGTCTATTACACCGAAAACCGGAAAACTCTAGAAGTTTATTTTTTCGCTCGATCGGTCGTTGTACTTGCGGAAAGCTTCCTGCTGCAGCTCAAAAAAAGATGAGCATGCGCGTGCGCAGTTTTAATTGAGGTATACGTCGCAAAGTTAGCTCCGTAGCAGCGTAGAAACCGAAACTAATTTGCCATTAAAATAAGAACAAACGTGTTTATCTCCAAACGAAAATATTGTTATCTTACGTAACTAATGAAATGCCAATGCGTTGTTTTCTGGAAAACATATGAAGTTTTTATTCCTTTTCGTCGGCACGCTGATTTAAAAGAGGGTTGTGCCATGCGGAGGGCAAGTCGTCTGCTTCTTTCGCAAGGGTTGCGATGACGTCAGAACGACGCCGAGTTCTCATTGGCTTTGATTGGATGGATAGTGGGTGGACCTCAATGCCAGATGCCTCGTGGTCTACCCACTATATTGCTTTTAATCGGCCAATAAGAGCTAGGCGTCCTGACATCGTGGCAACCCCTGTGCAAGAAGCAAAGAAACTTGAGCTCCGCGTATAGTTTGAATTCTATACTTAACTGTGTATTTCACTTCCAACGCCAAGTCATGCGTGCAAATATGTTGCAACATGATGCTTCTTGGTATCATCCGTCGATACCAAGACAAATCACGTGTTGATAAAACTATACGTAACATAATTTTCGTTTATATATTTTTGTCCAAAACATTGAAAAAACTGCGGTTTAAAAGTGAAAGTTGCACAATATACTGGACATGTGCCGTAAGCTTAAGTCAGTAAAAGTGCGGAAAACTTGTAATGACTACGTTTAGCTTGTTTCAGTCGGTTGTAATTGAATTCCATCAGACAGCTTTCTGATGTTCATTATAAATAGTGCAAGTGAATTGGGCGGTTTGACGTAACATTCGTTCGGCTCATAATTTCACCAGACGCCATACTGCTGAACTCTTGCCGTATGTCTTTCTATCTGCGGAGGCAGTGTTTTTCAGTTCGGTCGAATTTTCTTGCGTCATAATCGACTGCCTCTGCCGGGGTAGTAAACGACCCGAAGAAGCGTCACCTGGTACCAATTTTGTATACATAGGGTTTCTTATTCGGACGTAAGACGAACAGGCGATCTAGACGTCGACGTGTCGGCGGCCATAAAGGCCCCGGTACATACTGCCCGGGCGACTCCGAAAGAAAACAGATTTAGAATAAGCTTGTATTGGTGCAACCCGAGTACGTCCGGATCGTACATACTGCGTTTTGTTGCCCCTGTTTCACCAACACCAAAAACGACACCAATTACTAAGCGTCTGCATGTAAACAAATGGCGACACTGGCAAACGCTGTTCATCAATATGGCGAACGCGGCTCACCGGAAGAGAAAATGCATTTCGTGAAATTGTCCCAATAGTCCTAATGCTAATTTCCCAATCATCAAGGAGAATGCTGGGAATGGTGTTCTACGCGCCGCACGCGCACTCTTTCCCCGTATGAAAGATTCAAAGTAAATACCCAAAATAAAGCATTAACAGACGCGCGTGCAAGAAGCCATTTGTTTTAGGTATTTGCTTTAGAAAAGTTACTGCTCCAGACGCCTGCATGTGCGACGCGTGGAACAGCATTCCCTGCATTATTCTTGCTGCTTGGGTAATTTAGGAATATGTTTATTTTGCATCGAAACTAAACAAAACCTCGTCATTCATGAGGCAATCGGTTGACCGACCACTGTTAATCAGTGTCGAGGTGCCACATCTGAAGTCTGCCAACCATAACGGTTTTTGCTTGGATCACTCATGGTTTGCCCAAAGGAATCCGAAATATGGAGGCAACGCAAGGCACACCTACGGCGGAGACGACGGAAAGTGGAGTGGACCTCACCGGACTCTGGATATTCCTCGGGATCGTGGCGGCAGTTTTCTTTCTCCTCGTGGCCTTTGTGTTGTGCCTCAAAGTTTATAACTATTGCATCAAGGGCGTCTGCACATCTCCACAACAGATGGACGGCAAGACGGTCATCATCACTGGAGGCAACGCAGGTAAAAAACTTTCATACATTTTTTCTGAAATATTTTAATTATTATTACACACACTTCAAGTAAGATATTTTACAAAACATCCTCGAAATAAGCTTTATTCTGCTAATTGTACATCAAGGTGGAGCAAGTTTTTTTGTTTCATATTCTAGATATCCTTACATTGTCCAAATATAAACAAATGAATATATATATATATATATATATAGGCAAAAGTGATGTGCGCAGACACAGCAGCCGTAGGGTGAAAAGAATAAAATTCTAATTTAATGGCGAAAAAAGTCACGCAAGAAAAAAGGGTGAAGTGCCGAAAAAAAGTTGTATTAGTTTACGGGAATAATGAAGACTAGGCACAAGAGCGCTAATTACGCGGGAAAGAAACTTTTAAACAGGACGGAGTAAAAGTCAAAGTTAACACACAAGAACTTACAAAAAATAAATTGTTAAATGAAAAATAAAATAAAGAATTGAAAATAAAAAATGTATAAAAAATAAGAAAAGGGCCTGACGTCCGTCGACGTCAGACCCTTTACTCCGTCCTGTTTAAAAGTTTCTTTCCCGCGTGATTAGCGCTCTTGTGCCTAGTCTTCATTATTCCCGTAAACTAATACAACTTTTTTTCGGCACTTCACCCTTTTTTCTTGCGTGACTTTTTTCGCCATTAAATTAGAATTTTATTCTTTTCATCCTACGGCTGCTGTGTCTGCGCACATCACTTTTGCCCATATATCAACGGAAGCATTTGTCAACATTCGTCACTCTTTATATATATATATATATATATATTTGTACAACAGGAGAAATGCTGTATGCAATTTAAGAAACAACAGTTCAAAACTCTAACCCATTTTTATTTGTTTTTTTTAGGCACGGATAGGTATTACAACGGTTTATCAGTATATCATAACATGAAATATGATTTTTTTTTGTTGTTTGATATTGCCTCGTAAGGCGGAATCTCTTTAGATATTTTTTTTTTCGATTGGGGTACGAAGGCGGAGTTCTGAAGCGGGGATCCATGGGTGGGGCAGCTGCGGCTAGGTAAGCGGAGTTTGTACAGACTAGGATGCCTCCATGTGCGCACATGAAGGCTCCCTAGTACAGACAGTTCTTATGTAGGTGACTCTCCGGGAAGAAAGCGTTCTTTGCACGCGAGCCACGTACGCAATCGCTTTACGTTCTTTCGGTACCGTGCAGATGATGAAATGGGTGACTGCTTTTGCCGTACGCAGCGTGTGATGCAAAAAGTCAATGACCTCGCTGCTCGCACACGCATGCACGCACATTCACACACCCAAGCACGCAGGCGCACACACGCACGCGCGCACACACACGTACGCACAACCCGTTCGAACGTACGCATCTGTTCTGTACTCCCGAGAGCGTGTACATTCCCGGATGGGGAAACCCGCTGCGCCCCCGGAATCCCAACGAATGTACGTTCATCAGTCCATAACGTTGGCACCCTGCAAGTCAGTATTATTATGTCCTTGATATAGTTGAAACTACCTAATACGAACCTAGAAGATTTAACTGCATTACTTTTTATTTGGGTGTGTTTGTGCGTTGCACAGGCGGTGCTCGCCTATAGACCTTTGTACTCTCCGTTGCACAGGCGGTGCCATTTTGGTGTCACGTGACGCGGCTGCCATGAGGTGGCTTCAACTCTTTTCTCCACTCTCGAATCCGCGTCCTGGCGAAGGCGATGTATTCGTGCATTTCGTCGCGTTTCACAGCGTCTCTCCCCTTGCTTTGTAAAGTGTCGTCGTGTGCTTTGCATGGCATGATTATGTACACAATGTCTGCTGTAAGTTTATCACAGGTTTTGACTATTTTTATCGCCGGCGTACCGGAAGCGTGTGAGGGGCCAGGGTGCGCAGGAGTAGGTGTTTGCCCTGATCCACGTTGATTATGTAGGTGACTCTAAGTCAGCACGAAAGTTGAGGATCCAATTACTTCTGAAAACTCAAGTCTGCTCAGTGATATATATAGTGGCGAAAGATTTCAGATAAGTAGCGCAATGTATATACATTATCACACATGTGGGATCTGACAGAAATAGAGTGCAAAAGGAGCAATCATGTGTGCTTCCCGAAAGCATCGTAGCTTGCCTTCAATAAAAATCGGAAACATTTTCTCTTATTGTATGGGAGAACTCGCGTAGATATATAATGAATTTCTAACTCACATTTTATTTGATCTTAGGAATAATGGTAACGTCTGCATCAGACATTGCGTTTATTCAGGATTTTACACCAAAATGTGTTAAACGTTCAAAATAGAGTTTGCGATATAAACACTAGCCTAACTGATCTGTTCATTAATCAATTTGAAGAAACTGTACACCGTGCTGTGTCCTACGTCTACTGTCATTCAAGTGCTCGAAGAAATTTCTTAGGGAATACAATACGATTAATTTACTTGGACTGTTTCAACAGAAATGTCGGGAGTATACCCCGGTGAGAATAGGCATCTCGGGAGAGCCTGCAGGACCCGCAATATGTGTTATACGGAAAAGAAGCCACCCGAGTGCAGCACTGTCGACGCCGAAATGAACAAAGTGCACCTGCTTCAACGAACAAAGTTCTGTCTACTCAGGTTGAGAAGTGGTGCCTATAGCGTTCGACTTTAGCCAAACTTGCCCTTGGCGCTTTAATATCATTTGGCGAATCTGACGCACGTCAATTTTCACTTGACGGTCTTGTCACTCATATAATATACTGGGCATGTTGTCAGCAAAGGTTCGTAAAGCAACTATTTCCTGACGCCATATAAAATGATGTTAATAGGGGCGTTTGCAGGGACGGTAGTTAAAAAAATTTCCCATCCTGCCTGTGATGAACTAACAAAATATTCTTTGGGTACTTAGCTTTTGTAAAAGAAAGCAGCCGGAGACAATATTACTTATTTTTAAGGTTATTTGCATTATTAAAACAGACTTTTCTAGTGACCGAAGTTCACAAAAGTTTGGTGACCGCGAAACTTTTAACAGTCAGCAGCGACTTTATGTGTTCTTTAAGATCCAGCACAGTGCTAATCAGGTTGTAAATCTGATTAAAAAATGCTCTTCATTAGTTTATTTTTCTGGAAACTAGCGTCAGCGGTTACGGCAATAGACGATAGAATTCTCCCGGACATTAGTTCGGGCGTTTCTGTGCCGAAATGGGAAAATTCTAATGGCAAGGATGACCAGGGTCCAGATGCCTTGTTAAGTCTTCGCAAAAGTCAGTAATTATGACTAGAAACGACTTCATAGTTCTCAAGCGACACAGTACCATGCTTTTCTTAGTTGCCTGCTGCAACGAACACATTTGTATCGAAACCCTGAGCGAAAATGGCATAAAACGCTGAGACAGCCACGAGTGCGCTAATACTGAAACTAACCAAACTTAAGCCACCCAATGGCGGCGAGTTCGCCAGCGCCCTCTGTCCGCTGGTCATGTAACTACTGAGATGAAAAGGTCTATAACATTGCCATTCAAGAGACGCGCAAGCAAAGAAGTCAAGCTTTAATAGGCAACAAACGAACAAAATATAATTCTTCTTAGCATTGTTTTCTGATAAACCTTTACAATACATCCGCGTAAAAATGAAAATCAAATAAAAAAAAGGTTTTGAGAAAATCGAATCTAGACATGATCTTTTTGGACAGTCTTATATTCAAATGCTCGTAATACCTCTCTTAATATTTGAATAAAATAATGAATATGTAGTAAATAAAAACAGCTAAAACCCTATACGGTTTATGGAACTATCTGTACTACTAATAACCCTTAACAAGTTTACAAGATACCGTGCTAAACGTTGCTAAACATTATAAAAAGAAACTTAGTTTAATATCTTTTCATACATTTTCCTAAATATAATAAATATTTATTTGAGTATAATAACCTTCTCCTGAGATTGTTTAGAACGTCCAAGAGCAGTAATTTGAATTTAAAGAGGGAGGAAAAGAGGTCAGACATATGGTTCACAACTGGTAGAAAATAATTAAATCAATTTCCGCCATGGCCTCTAGCTAGCTCTTTTATTTTATAACCCCCCCCCCCCCCCCCCATTTTCCGCTCCCCCTTCCCTCCTCGCTAATATATATATACTTTTCTGTTCGCAATAAAACCTTAAGATTTTTTTTTTGCTTTGCCGGATTGGAGATGAAATAATTACGCACCCTACGTACATATATATCAGATGTTAATACAGCCATAAAACTATCGTTGCACAAATTAAAAAGAAAAAAAATATACATATATATATAACGTTTGAGGGGGGCGAACACAGACCTGCACAATTCTTTCAATAAGCAACGATGGCTATTGATATTTACCACACTGAGTATTCCCCGAGAGCAACAAGAAGAAAATAAGATAAGAAGAAATAAAGACAAAGACAAGAAAAAGAGTAAGAAAAGGCCGACGACAAAAAAGTAAGAAGCTGCTATGACAACTCCGGCGCTAGAAAATCAAGCACTACCGTCGAAAGCGAAAGTGAAGGCATATACACATCATTGAAAGACCGCTTGGTATATTGTAAGCTTCAGTAATTTCTCGTCCTAGGTTGCTGATCTTTGTCCACAGGATTTCTGGTTTGATGAACTGGGTGACGCAGTCAGATCAAGTGCGAGCATGAATGACGATAGGATGATACGAATTAGAAGAGGCCTTTCAGACTTCCAGAAAGTGCTCCCTGAGGTGAACATTCCGACACCTTCCTGTCTGGCCGATGTACTGGCCACTGCAACTTAACGGAATAGAATGGGTTGTTCTTTGCAGTGGTCGTATTTGTTAGAGTAGTTTATGGAAGAGACTCGTGGAGGGTCTGGATTGTTCACACGCTGGCAAAGCTGGCTCGACATCATTCTACACGTAAAGACAACTTTTTGGATCGTACCGTGTATTCCCGGTGTGATGAATATTAGTAAATCTCGTTGCTCATTGAAAGAATGGTGTATGTCTGTGTTCGTCTCCCCAAAAATATTTATTCTTCCTTTTTTTGTGTATTGACCACAAGGCGCTCCTCGTATCTATCGAACTATCGTTGACCGTGGAAACTAGACAATACTTGTTTGAATAACTTAAACATCTTCATGATGTTCGTGACACATCAGTGGGTGTCACGTACAGTTCCTGAACGCTTCTTCGACTAGTGTGTTTACCGTCTTATCCCGCCTACGCATCGAAAATGGTTCCGATGTGGCCACTAATGACGTCAGAGAAGCTGGTGTGCCGTGCTGTTAGATGTTGCGATCCTGGCGCGTGGTCGTAAAAAGACTGGTGAAAAAGGCTAGCGGACGCAACGGTCGCCGTCGTCGCGGCGTTACAACTCCTGTCTGCTTTGGCTTCCGTCGACTGTGGCTGCAGGGCGACCTGCAGCAGAACAGGTGTCTGTCGTCCACTGCTGTGCCACAACCAGGATCGCAGCAGGCAACAGAGTGCCACTTTTACGACGTCGTCACGCGGAAATCGAGGGACTATGTTTTAAGGCGCGGTAAACACACCATTCGGAGATGTGCCTTGGGCACTATAGTGTTTAACTTTTTTTTATAACAGAAAATACATTGTGCATTGGTTGTCACATTTCTCTCGTCTTCATCCTTTGCTTTTTCTGAAACTTAAACTAACTGTAGTGAAAAATATCGTAAGGGTGCGGGCGTGCTGAAAACAGACAGGACGGCATCTCTTGAGACGTCGTCCTGTCTATTTTCTGTCCCTTCTACCTTTTGATGTTTCTTCTCTGCCTCAGTCTCAGGTTAATTTCAACATGGTTGACTGTAGTGCTTTCGTTACTCATGTTAAAAATATTATTTTATATATCCCAAATAATTCTCCTCCGGTTTTTTTCTAAAATATTTTACTAAAACGTTCTTCATTACTTTGTATACGCGAAAATATTCTATTAAAAAAAATGAAGGGCATTTTGGTTTTGTGCGCAAACTATCACGTGTGAACAAATTCAAGTTCCTGTCTTGTTCTTCATAGTTGTGAACGGATTACCCTAATAATTATGTAGCCATATTAGTCCTTTCCCCTTAAAGACATCGACTTAAGTATTGAAACGTTTAAAAAAAAAACTCAAGCAAGAAAATGTACACATGCTGTAAATACAAAAGAAATATACTTCGGAAGCGCATAGATGCACATCAAAGCCTTATGTTTCATATAGGTGCTTGTTCCTGTAATTTGGCGTATCATAAAATAGGTTTCTTTGCGAAAAAAAAAATATCTTCAACTACGGACAGATGTGATATAGAATAGGATAATACATGCTCACCGCTTTACCACGGCAAACGTGCTCGTCCCTATATCGGCTGCATACTCGCGTGTAATTTTCTTACAGCTTATATAACCTTCTCTTAACATTTTGAAAATAACTATTTACATTGTTACTTACTCCTGAAGCTCCAAATGGTTCTGTTTGCCATAGTTTTGGACAATAGTCGACACTCGGCACAATCCACTAAAACAAATTTCGACAGAGAAAAAAAAATAGAACGTGGCCGGTGCAGTCTGCACCAGGTATATATTTCATACGTCAAAACTTGGCGAACCTTGAGAAATACCTGCTTCATTACCGCACAAAAAAGAAGCCTATATCGCATAAAAACCATCATTACCATAACCTGTCATTCACAACATCCATCACATCTCGCCATAATGAACGATCTTTAAAAACAAGTTCTTGTATAGTGCGCACCTGTAGATAGTCTGCCCCACGTAAAATTTCTACTTCTATGCATCAATAGTCTACGCAATATAAGTCCAAAAAATACAATACTCTCTTTGATTTCGCAAGAAGATTTTAAATTCGAGGATGCTATTGCTATGAACAGGAATCGGCAAGGAGACTGCCAAGGAACTGGCACGACGCAAGGCTCGAGTCATCCTTGCCTGCCGAAACATAAACAAGGGCCAGGAGGCGGCGAACGAGATCTTCTTGGAAACGCAGCAGGCGGTCGTAGTCAAGCATCTGGATCTGTCATCGCTCAAGTCGGTGAGGGACTTTGCCAGGGACATTGTCTTCACGGAGCCGAGGCTGGACGTGCTCATCAACAATGCTGGAATGACTCTTGGTGAGTACGATGAGCACCGGTGAGAAAATATGCCGCGACCTTTATGTTCAAAGTTTTATGTGTAGAATGAATTATTTAAGGAGAGATTACTTAGATTTTTTATACAATATTAAAGAGTCGATTCGGGGAGCGAATAAGAGCGTATTTTATATGAAAGGCGATCAACCTCCTCAGTGCAACATTACCATAAATAAGGAGAGTATCGACACATAGTAACTGTAGTAGGAAACGTAAGGCATGCACATTTGCCGGTACATTTAGAAACTCATCAAGGTAGCTCAGAGGCACAGCATGGTGTGCGGACTGAGAGGTTGTGGGTTCAATATCTGGTGGAGGAGTGAGTATATACTGGTGTAATTTTCAGTAAAGCTTATAAACTTTCTTCCGCTTATGTTGCCATGGTGACCAAACCGGTTATGCTGACATTCTGTGCCATAGAGTATAGCACGGACAAGCAAATATTTATGTTGTTCTTGAGGTATTAGGCGCCGCCCTAACCAACAAAAGATTATGTTTTTAGTGCGCAACTGTTTCTTTATTTTTTATCTCTTTTTACAGAGGATGACCAGCTTCACCTAACAGAGGACGGATACGAGTTGGCCTTTCAGACCAACTACTTGGGGCATTTTCTGCTTACCATGCTTCTGTTGGGTGAGGCGATTCAATTGCAATAACTAAATGTGTTTGTTACGCAGTCAGAATTTTTTTTTTGACCCTGTAAAAAGAATTCTTGAGAGAGTTACACCCATGGCTACTTCCTTTCAGCACGTTCATTTTTTGAATGGTGTAAAATGGTGAGGATAAGCTGCCACGATGGGGTGAGAAAAGAGCCTTAACTTCTGAAGGGTGTTTGCTGCACAGGCACCATGCTTCCAACAGCTTGTGTCCGCGACGATGTCTAAAAGCCTGACAAGACTTTGCGGACGATATTGCACAAAAAGCTTTTGATCTTTTTTTTCTGTGGAAGTCGCGCTGTTATAGTATAATGCTCACCTCCCTATAAACACTCGTTAAAAAAAGTAATGGTACAGCGTTCCACAAACATTCTGGCTGTTTCAACAGGAACCTGCACGAACTAGCCCAGTTATCCTGCCCCCCCCCCCTCACACACACACACACCAAGAAAAAACAAAAACAACCCAAAAAAACCTGATTTTTTGCCGCAACACTAAAGTGCACATAGCCGAACATTCATTCTTTGCACAAATGGAGCGCTGTCGACCCGAGCCAGATACCAAAGTTTCAGCACTAACTCGTATATTATTCAAAAGTGATGTGATTTTCTTTGGGTTCACTCGTTCAATGGGACAATGGGGTTAATTTTTGCCCGTTTCGGTAACTGTCGCCGTAGAGCTTCATGTATTCGAAAGCTCTGTTGTATGCCATTTTTTCATTGAAAATTTCAGAAAATCACTTACAATTTTTGAATGAAATAATAGTGTGTGCTGAAACTTCGACATCTGGTCCGAACTGCTAGTTCTACATTTTGGAGGAGAATGAGCGTCGGCGAGGCGTGGTTGATTTTTAAAGTGGAAAAATATTCTGTAATATTTTTGACATTCTCAGACTGTGTAAGGTCGGCGCGGCGAAACTGCATTAATAAGCCTGCCTATATGCTTTGTGATTGCGATATAAGTGGAGGTGGGAGCCAGGTTTAATATTCTCGCCAATGAATTGAAAAAAAAAATGTGATCCCCATTGCAAATTTGCGCAGTTAATATTCATTATTAAAGGAAAAAAAAACACACCTAAGTCGCATCGTTGTATAAGACGCACCAACAAAAATGCATATAAAATAAACGCGAGCGGAAGTGTATGGTAGTTTTACGGGTATAACGATGAAAATCATTCTAAATATATGTATAAGGCGCATGTCATAGGATTCCGCTTGACGCAAAGTGTTTTTTTCTTGTTTATTGTTCGTCGATATTACGTGTTTAGTTTGTTGTTTGTTGCATTTGATTAAGATTATATTGTCACGAATTAAGGGCTGCGCGCGGCAATATGAGTGGAACTTTTCAAATCCGTTTCTTATAACGCAATAAGAAACAAGTATTTTTTGCTTTACATATTTTTATATCGGGTTAATTCCGCGTAAGTGCTTCTGTTCACTGTTTTGATTATGTTTCATTGATAGCCAAATCGGTTATACTGCAATAAGGTATGCACGGGAATTTCTGTGTGCAGGGTTTTTTGTTATAGGGTGATTTCAGATAAGATCGACCAAAGGGTGGCTGGTCGACATTTTTAAATCAACTGATGTTTTTATATGACATTGTCTAGTGTCTGGTATAAACGAATCCACACTTAGTTTTGACCAGAAAAAAAATTTGGAGACAAGAAAAATCGTAAGGCAGGGAGAGGTGGACAGTTGCAATAACGCGCACTGATGGAGGGGGCAAGTTTAAAAGTGAATAATTAAAACAATAAAATTAGGAGAATTTTAAAACTTTTTACAAACAAACTATGGGTACAACTTGCTTGTAATATAAAGTAATAATATTTATTAAAAATTTATTTAGTTTTCTAAAAATTGCCAAACATGCCTGCTCGAACGACAAATGGCAAACTTTGGAAATCTGTATCTCATGAAATAATTTAATCATTATTACATAACTTGCAGACATTATTTTACTAATATATGGCTATTATTGAAAAAATAAATAAGGTATCTGAGTGACACAATAGTTACAATATATTTAGGCAAACATGGGAAAAAAATCAAACAAAGAAAAATTCCAATGCGAATAAAAAAAAAACACCACCTTCGATTTTTTTAAAATTTGGGTACCCTGTTATGCTCTATTTCGGCATTCATTTCTATTAAAAACATGTTGCATCATTGCACTGTGAAAGAAGAAACAACTCCCCAAAGTAGGGTCCTTTTTCAAAGCCTACACTTAGCAGTGTCCTATACAAGAAGTGACTCTGAGTTCCAGTTTCATGAAACTTGCACAAATCTTTTATATACATTTATTCAGATGAGGTCATTCATAAAAAGAGCGATCGGTCACACAGTAAAAGGGAGGAGAAACTATATACAGCATTTTACATAAGCGTACAAAGTGGTATCATATTAGAGACTAATGATTTGAGAAAAGATGATGCAGTGTGAAGTTGTACCTTCCGGTATATTTTACATCTAGAGTAAAATAAATAACTTTACTTCCACACACAAAAACAAAGATATAATAGTAAGATATTTAGGTTGGCTGTGTATTTACGATTACAAACAATTTCAGGTGACGGATGCCATAGTGCCTAACTGGAGCAGCTTCGATGCTCTCGGTGTATGAATGAATCGTGGCAAGCCGATATATTTTATCCTGCTCGAGGATAACATTTTGGGATTTTTTTTATAGTGATCAGATAAAAATTATTAGTAACCACCAACAAAAACAGTAGGTTAAATACCCCGTGAAGAAAAATGTGATAAATAAGATGTCCCTGCATTCAAAATGAGCAGTCCTCGGGAAATCAAATTCGGCACTTTACGCTAAGGTTTTCCTCGCTGTACCCATTTAATAAAGTTGCTTCCAAGCAGATCCGACTGTCCGTGCTAGATATACGTCACAGGTCCCTTCTGTTGATGACTTGCTGAGCCGCCACGCGTGCCAAGACTGAATGCCAGGGAAGGCGCGCACCGTCAGCCACTCTTCCTTTTTTTTGTTCACGATACCGAACAACCTAATTTTCGTCCAGATATACAAGATGCACGCCTTTCAGTTTCTTTGATAGAACGCTCACCATTGTCCTGGCCGTCTGAATTGCGCTTACTGAACGTTCTCTCAGGTTGTTCAGCGTGGCCTGGTGCTTCACGAGTCCGCCAACTCCGTCACATGCATTTTTCCCATGTCCAGATGCAGAAAATAACCACTGGGCTTGTGGGCAATCGTCCTTTGCAAATTGGTGAAGCTGGTAGCGATTCTTGAAATGACTGGCGGCGCCGTCACTTACGTACGTCACGTACGAGTATACCGCAACGTTGTCTTCAACCCACTCCTTCACTTTTTCTAGAGCCAAGCAAGCGTGAGCGGCGTCGTGACACAGGTCCTCACTGATGATGGCAAAGCTGTTTGTAGATTTTCTTGTCGTCACTACACATGTAAATATCGAAACTTGTTTTTTTTTTTTCAGTGATATGCTTGCACTTCGTCAGGAAGCACGATGGTCCAGTTTTCAGCAAAGTCAAAATGAAAGACAATGCTCCCGCGTTGCATGCACTGTTTTTCATCGTAGATCGCTTTACCTTGCGTTTGCCGGATATGGTTGTGAAGTACCCAACTTCCAACCGTCACTTGGATGACTTTTAGGAAAGTCTCAGGTTCCAAAGTTTTTTTCACAAGGTCGCCGGACTCCCATGTTGCAAGCACAATCTCTTCATCCTCCGGGATATCAAGTTCCTGGAGTGTAAGAAACTGGCCTTTTGGGCAGTGATCACAGTCTCCTTGAAGGCACAGTTCTGTTGCTGGGTCGCACAGAAATGCCGAGTTCATTTCACCAGTGTTGAATGTTGAGCCTGTAACGTTCTCTAGAGCGGAAATACAAAGATAATAATTGGCGCAGCGCACACAAACGCACACTTCCTGGTGTGGAATACATTGGACCCATCTAGGGCGCAACGAATAAAATTTCGTTAGCCCAACGCCGGAATCGGGATGCTTGTCTTTGTATATACGGAAGGCCTCTCGTATTGAGCGTGTCATGAAGCGCTTTGGCACGAACGTTTTCTCTCCGTTGAGCATGACAGAGATGACGTCCTTCTGGTTGGGACTTTGGCGCGAACATTGTAGCTCGTCTTTCGTGAAGTACTCTAGGGCAGCAGACAGGTTCTCAGGGCTCACCTTGCATCTCGTGTAAGGATCCGGCTCATACCACTCGCCATGCTTTTCCTTGAGTTTTCGGGATTTACTGATGAGGTACATTGAGGCCTGTGGAATCATCTTTTGAACCTCATTCTTCGTCAGTGTTGACGGCAGGAGTGTAAGCAGTTGACAACGTTCCCGGAGGGAGGTGGCGGTTTCAAAGGCCAGCCGAAAGTTGTCCACCCACTCAGTGCATGTGGAGCATGTTGGTTCGGACGACCCCGATGGTGCGTCCCTGTCGTACGCAATACGTAGCCTTGAGCGTATATTCTTGACAGCAACCTGCTCCAGTTCTGTCTGCTTTCTATTGACATAGGCAGGCCTGTCCCGACTTCTTACGACGCTTGGTTGTCTCAGCGGCGACACATCTGTAGGTAGTATGCTGCGATTTAGATCTTCAATTGCTTCTTCAGCTGGCACAAATATGTCAGGGCACTGCTCTGAGCTTCGCATCGAGATCTCCTTAGTGATGTGCATGAAGCAATGGTAGCACAGGTAGTCCGTCGCACTCACTTTGGTGGAACAGTCAGGCGGAGGAATTTGCTTCAACGAGTTTAGGTCCAACTCGCCAACACTTCGAAAATTCCGCTGCTTTGGTATAGTCTTTTTGTGTTTGCAAAAGTAATCTGCACAAAACACTCGTTCGGAGCTCCAGGCCGTCTTAATAATGTATACATAAATAATAGAAATTAAACCCCAACTGATGGCATATAATCGCCAAGTGAAAGAACTACTGGGAGCACAAGTGACAAGTCCGAGGCTGAGGAGCTCACTCACTGCAAACGTACATTTGAAAAGAGATGTCACAACTGAGGCTGTCGGTAAAGCTTGATCCACGTCAAAGGAAGAAAGAGGGAAAGTCTCCAGACAAAAAATTGTGGTCAGCGGCCTTCGAAAAAGACTTTCCGGAATCGCACTGTCGTCCCTCCACGCGCTGATATGAAAGCACCCGAGCTTCTACCACGTGGTTCATGACACAGCCTGAGCCATGTCGGCGACCGGTTCGCGAGGGGTTGGCGGTGGGGTTACGTTGATGGTCACTCGGATTAGCCCTTGCTGTACTGAGCTACCGCCTGCAGTGCCTTATCGCCGGCTGGTGTCAACAACGAGAACACACACACCCTGTCTACACCAAAACTACAAGCGTTCACCGCACACGCGTCGCCGCCCCTTTTAAGCTTTTGTGAAATTGCTTTCTTTTCCCGCGGAGAACCGCCTTATCTTAACTACGCGCCTGAAATCCTTCCAGGCGGGCGTACACAATATCAAGCGTTTCGAGAAATGCCCGTGGAGTAGAACTATGGGAAAATTCGGAGCCCGCGATGTCGATATCGTCGCCGTTGTGTTAGTACGCCGTCGCGTACTGCAGTCCCCCGTTGGGGGAGGGGGGGGGGCGGTCTTACTACGATAACATGGCGACAGCGTTTACACTCTATGTATTTACGCGAGGCTCGAGTATTTGGGGATAATGCTGCCGGTTGGTGTGGCCCTTTGTGCCTGATATTATCGCCCGTGACGCCAGCGAGTGAGATGGCGACAGGCATGACTGCTCAGTAAACAGGCGTCGGCGGCCATGTTTTGCTGGTTGAAGCGAACCCCCTTGTCCTTGACAGCGAGCGGGGAAATGCGAAAAAAAGATTGTATCGGCCGTTTTGCCAGAACTAGCGACGAGTGTCGTCTGCGGTTTCCGGCAACTATTTCGCCATAATCGTGAGCTTAGCGAGGAAATGATTTTTGCTAGCCACAGAACACTACCACGCAGAAAGGGAATGCTTGAACATGTTTTTGTTCTGGATATATATCAGGGATATATATGAGAGAGAGAGATATGAAGGTAGAGCGGAAGGGGGAATAGCATATAGTGTCGCAGGAGAATAAAGTAAACAAAGTTCCTAGTGGCCGATGGCTGCATGATCTTTTCTCGGATCACTAGTCCGTAATATGATACCTCTTTGTACACAGTAGTTTCTCCTTAATTTAAGTGTGTGAACGATTTCTTTAGTTATCATTGGCCTCATCTGAATAAAAATATATAAAAGATGTGTGTTGGTTTCATGAAACTGGAACTCAGAGTCAGTTCTTGTATAAAACACTGCTAAGTGTAGGCTTTGAAAAAGGACCCTACTTTGGGGAGTTGTATCTTCTTTCTCAATAAAATGATGCAACATGTTTTTAATGGAAATGAATGCCGAAATAGAGTATAACAGTTTACCTAAGTTTAAAAAAAAATCGAGGGTGGTGTTTTTTTTTATTTGCATTCGGAATTTTTCTTTGTTTGATTTTTTTTCCATGTTTGACTAAATATATCCTAACTATTGTATCAGACAGATACCTTAGTTATTTTTTAAATATTAGCTATATATTAGTAGAATAATATCTGCAAATTATATCATAATGACTAAATTATTTCATGAGATAGAGACCTCCAAAGTTTGCCATTTGTCGTTCGAGCAGGCATGTTTGTCAATTGTTAGAAAAATAAATAAATTTTAAATAAATATGATTACTTTATATTACAAGCAAGCTATACCCATAGTTTGCGCCTAAAACGTATTAGAGTTCTCCTAATGTTATCGCTTTAGTTATTCACTCTCAAACGGGCCCCCTCCATCAGTGCGCGTTAATGCAACTGTCCACCACCTCATGCCTTACGATTTTTCCTGTCCCCAAGTATTTTTTCTAGTCAAAACTAAGTTTGGATTCGTTCATACCAGACACTAGACAATAACATATAAAAACATCAGTTGATTTGAAAATGTCGACTAGCCATCCTTTGGTCGATCTTATCTGAAATCACCCTATAAACTTATTAATGGGGTTAGGTGCTTTTTGAAAGTACCTATAAACCCAGAATATCAACCCTCGAGCCAGGTTTGTCAAAATTAAAAAAAAAAAAAATCGGAAAAAAAAAACGAATTAGAGCTGTTTTTAAACAAGAAATGCCCTAACTTCACGAGAAAAAAATCTCTATCTACAGTTTTATTTATTTTTCGTTAACCCTCAACGCAACTCTCACTGAAGTGTCGGCGGGGTTGGATCTATCTTCGGAACCACACCCCATTACCTTGAATCCGTGAGTTATCGGTGAGTGGGCGTTTTCCAAATGTTCGGATTACACGAATGTTTCTCGTGGTTTGGGAATCTCATATTCATGTGCTATTTGTTTCAACGTACTCCCGGATGAACCCAGATTTTATTTTTTCGCCAACCCCAAAACTTACCCCTCTCCAAAAAAAAAAAATATATATATATACATATATATATAGGAAATGTTTAGGCTTTTCCACTCTGGTGAAGAAGGAAGACCAGCGGAGCTGTACAATGGAAAGTAATGGCCGGCCGCAAGTGGGCAAGCCAGAGTTAAAAGGCTGCCGCCATCTATGAGCGAAGGCGGCAACCAGATATGTCGCTTGCCGCTGTCGCTCATATATGGCGGTACGTGTCCAGAGTCCGGTGTCTTCATATCTTTTCGGAGAACACGATCCTAGAAAAACTAGCCCTTAACAGCTTTGCTGTAGAAACTGATTTCTCCCAAAAACGCTTCCGAATTCAAGAACTAAGCACCGAAAACGCGATTCCGTATTTATAAAGCATTAACAAACTGTACCTACAAACGGCGCAATACTTTTGACGAGGCGCTTGCTGCCGCTACAAAGCTACGAGGTAATTAACAGCCTTGTCGTAAGATCTTACGAATTATGCTGCGCTTTTTGCAGACTTACTAAAGAAGACGGCTCCTAGTCGAGTGGTGAACGTCTCCTCAGGATTGCACCACGTGGGGGCTACGGATCACATGGAGGAGAGAATGAGAGGCATGCTTCGATCTAGTCCGACGCTCACCTACAGTCACACCAAGATGGCCAACGTCATGTTTACCATCGAACTCGCCAAGAGGCTCAAAAATGACGGTAGGTAAACGAGTGGCGATTAATAAATTGCAAATGCCTGAAGTGTGCTTCGATATTCGCGACTTTCAAGCCCTCTAGGGGTCGCTCTAGTTCCTATCAAGATGGCTGCCATGCGAATGATTGTCGTAGAACGGCAGTACAAGGTTCGGTCTGCGGAGCGTAAGTAATTATAATTTTCTGAAATACGAGTGATATCGTAATCAGTTTTCTTCAGACAATCTGGGGGCCGTCGCAAAAGGCATGCCTATCGAGGCGACAGCACCCCTGCCTCGCCGCCCTCCCCGGGGACATCATTCAGCAAGCCCAAACAAACAAAAAAAAATGTTCCATAGAAAAAAACAAATAAAAAAAAATATTTAATGATTGAGACATGCATAACGTCAAAAATGTACATTAAAAAAAAAACTCTGCACATGAGAGTGCCGTGCCATGCTTCCACGTCAGAAACGTGCCAGCAAGCACCTCTATTGTGAATCGCGCTCCCTAACTGCAGGGGATAGGGAACGCGATTCCTACGCCGCGGTACCACCATCGCTGAAAGTTGCGAAGTGGCAGTTGGCTGCACCTGAACGGGATATCCAGGTGGATTCGCCCATCTACAGTCCTATCAACCTATAATTTCAATTTCGTCATACTTCTTAATTTTTTCTGGTTTTATGAGTTCTGACTGCGGTTAAACAGGCAATCTTATTGGCTCTTCAGCGACAATAGAATGCTCGGGATTCACCAGGCCTTGCATTTTTTAAGCTTCCCGCGACTATAGGGACCATGGAAGATCGACTGGCCCCTCCAGTGGCGCAACAAATGCATGGGTGCCTTGCTTAATGTTGAAAGTCTCAGCCGCCAGTGCAGTATAAAATAATGAACGAAGTTCCTTCCAGGTTCGAGTGTGTAAAGCTTCAATTTGATTTGAGGTCCTATTTTTAAAATGTATATTCTTTTCACAGCTCCAGAATGATAATCCTTTTATTGGAGGTGTCAGGTATTTCTCCTGGTGATATACGTTCCTTGGAGCTCTGTATAAATCACTACCTCCTTTGACCTTTGTGTGTAGACTTTTGCCACAAACAGAAGGAGTTAACTTTGTGTGTAACAAATGCGATGTCAGTAATTTAATCGATATACTTGTTTCTTCTGAACGGTTTAATGTAAAGTTGGGAATTTAGATGGCGCCCTTTTTGAAGAATAGTATAAAATAACTGAAACGCAGAGGTTTCGAGCTGCGCACGTTATACCAAACATGCTCAGGATTTTAAAGTTTACAAAAATGAGTTAAGTTATTGTTATACCCGGTGTCGGAACACTGTGTTAGAGGACGACGATGCTGGCACAGCATTCACAGAACGCGCGCACTCGCAAAACGCGCGCACTCGCAAGCTCTCGATCTGCCGACCGGTCGCAACGGCCGGACCAGAATAAATACGAAGTATTCGGCGGTAGTCTTTCTGCCTACGCGAATACAACACTGGCGACGAGACCTGGTACGAGCCAACGAAGCCTTAACAGCCACCGCAAGCCATGCCGACCCAAGGTACCATCGAAGCCTTCTCAGGCAAGGCATGGGCGTCATGGATCGAACGCTTAGGGTTCTACTTCGTGGCTAATTCTATCACGAGCTTGGACAAGAAGCGGGCACTGCTACTCACGCTTTGCGGGCCAGAAACGTACGACATCGTTCGAGCTTTAGTGGCCCCTAGGACGCCGGGAGTTATCGGGTTCGAGGAACTGGTGTCGATCCTTGAGACACACTTCGACCCTCAAGCCTCGGAGCTGTACAGCCGCTACAAGTTCCAGCGTCGGGACCAGCTAGCCGACGAGTCAATCAACAGTTATGTCGCGACTCTGAAGCAACTGGCAGCAGACTGCAATTTCAGTATACCCTTGACCTCATCGATAACTGCTGCAACGACGGCATCGTAGCCATCAACGGCAGGTCAGGTCTCCGGTACAAGGGCTACGACTGGGACGCCAGCAACACCTCTTTGCGACGCCGGACTGCCGTTGGACATCATGCTGCGCGACAGATTTGTCTGCGGCATACGCGACGAGCTGCTGCAGCAACGTCTGTTTGCAGAAAAAGATTTGACGTTTGCAGCTGCTTTTGACATGGCAGTCAGAGCTGGGAGGGCACTTAAGCAGCAGAAAGACATCAAGAGCAAAATCGAGCATCAGGTGCACCAGACGGAAAAGGGGAACAAGGAGCCCTTAACACAACAGGGGCGACGTTGCTACCGGTGTACGGGACAACATGATCCGCAAGAGTGCCGTTTCAAGAAAGCGGACTGCAGATACTGCAACAAGCGCGGACATATTGAAAAAGCTTGTATTGCCAAGAAAAAGCATCAGGCAAGCAAACCGCTCAAGAAAGCGAACCAGATAATGGCATCGACAAGTCCAGAGAGCCAAATACCGCCTAATGCTGGATGCTCATTTTATGAACTTCACAAGCTGGCGACGGACACAGCTGTTTCAATGTTTCACGTCACACTTCGAATTGAAGGCAAACCACTGGAGTTCGAAATTGATTCGGGTTCCGCCTGCTCACTAATTAGCGAAGAGACCTTCCGAAAAACCTGGCCACGGAAATCGCCGAAACTTACGCGCGACGAAGTTGAACTGCGTACTTGGAGTGGCGAAGGACTGAAGCTTCTGGGATCCCTCCAAGCTACTGTCAGATTCAAGTCGAAAGACTACGTGCTTCCGGTTCTAGTGTTGAAGGGATCCGGCTGTAACCTTCTGGGCCGCGACTGGTTCCAGGCCCTACACATCAGGTTACAAGGAATCAACCAAGTGCGACAGCAGAGCACGCCGCCAGAGGTACAAGCGGTTTTACACCGCCATTCCACGGTCTTCAATGAGGACATTTCGGGATACACTGGACCCTCGGTTCACTTGAAACTAGAGGAGGGAGCAGCGCCCAAGTTCTGCAAGGCTCGTTCCGTTCCACTAGCACTGCGATCTGCGGTAACACAAGAGCTCTCCCGACTGCAAGAGCAGGATATAATCGAGCCAGTACAACATTCGGAGTGGGCTACACCTCTAGTCCTCGTCCGTAAAAAGAGTGGAGAGATCAGACTCTGTGGAGACTACAGAAGTACTGTCAACGCCGTGTGAAAGAAGGCAGCGTACCCACTACCAACTACAGGAGAAGTTGTGTCAAACCTGAGAGGGGGCACCGTTTTCTCGACGTTGGACCTTTGGCAAGCCTACCAACAGTTGAAAGTGTCTGAAGCCACTGCAGCTGTATTTGACCATCAACACCATAAAAGGCTTGTACAAAGTGAAACGCCTGCCTTTTGGAATCTCAGCGGCACCAGCAATTTTCCAGCGTGCAATGGAAACAACCTTGGCTGACATTCAGGGCATAAGTATCTACTTGGACGATATCATCGTGAGTGGAGAGAGCCGAGAACAACATGCTGCACGCCTGGACCAAGTGTTGTCCAGACTCGAACACGCAGGCCTGCGGCTCAAGAAAGAAAAATGTCAGTTCGCAGTTCGCGAAGCCAAGTTCCTCGGGCACCGAATTGAAGCAGCAGGAATTCACACAACAGATGAAAAAGTGCAAGCCATTCTGGACGCGCCGGACTATCTAGAAAGACTACCGCGCGTCGACGCGGCGCGCGGTAGTCTTTCTGCCTACGCGAATACAAGAGTTATGCTTAAATCGGAGGAGGTGGGCTTCGAAATATATAGCCGTTACACACTTTAACAGTCATAAATATACGAAAGTTGAAGTTCCTTTATAATGTAAGCTTTTTCTCCGTCGTGATACCGGACAGAAGATAAAATGTGAGATGTTTCTTCTAATTGGCCTGCCTTTAGGGATGGCGAGTTCTTTTCTTTCTACGGTGCTATTTTGCGTGTGCACGCTAAGACATTTGACACTGTTGAGGGCGTTACATTTCGCTTACAGAAATCTACACCCACGGCTACACCCTTTCAGCTCCCTTATTTTCGGCAATACTGCTTTTTATTTGCAAAGCAGATTGCTTTTGCTTGGGTTACTTATTTTTTAAAGGTGTAAGAAGTGTGTTTGCACTTCAAGATAACTTTAGCGGCGGTTGTTTTAGCGAATATGTCGGATAATTATTGCCGGTTTTTTACTTGGCGATGTATTCTTTGAGCTTAGATATCATATGCTGATTTGCATGCGATATTCACTAGGACAACAATCAGCATACCTTTAACCTTCATAAATCCGCAGATGGTCATTTGTAGATGAGCGTCTTTGAATTGTCGAGTATATAAGACAGTGAAGCGGTCAACAGGGCTGTGGGTCCTTTTGCGTGCGTAATTCGCTCAGACTTGTGCCTGGTAATAAACGAACAATTTAATTAAAATTACAATCACCTGACCTGAAATATAATAGATTACCGTGAAAAAGTACTCGCCCTAAAAAGTAATTGATTCATTATTTCGTTACTTTACTGCATTATTTTTGCTTCACTGCTAAGAAACTCGTAAAATGCATGCAATGCTTACTTCGTATTTTTAGGGCGGAATTTATTACCTCATCTAGAATAAACGCGAATAATTAGACTCGTTACAATTCGTCAGATACTTTTAAGCTATAAACATCAAGAGGCCGAATCTATGAGGTAATAAACAACTTAATTTGGTGTTCAAGATAAATGGATCATCCTTTGTACGACCGAGACAAAGTCGGATCACATGAACATGCAAAGAATACATTTGAGCATTACCCTTAAGAAACGCTACAGGCACACGCCGTTTGAAATAATCCTAGTCCAGCATCGGCGAATCGAAAAACACTGCTCCCCCATGCTTGCACTGCTTGCTGCAGTTGCTAAAGGGCTAATCTTGCTCACTAAATTGGACTAGTAATGAGAACGAAATGCTCTACTTGCGTTGGAATACGTTTCGAGGACTGCAGCTTGATGAAGGGTGCCATCCGAACGAATAACGCACTTGATATTTTTTCTATGACCACCAAATTCATTAGAATCAATACTTCACACGAAATATTAATGAACAAAGTTGTAGTTAAATTAAGTATGCCGTCAAGAACTCATAAAACAAACAGTATAATTATTAGTAATCAACACGCGTCCTTGTCTCTCATACGTTTGCAGACGATCTCTACTTTCTCCAGTCGAGTGTTCACGTTTATTCCCGGAAAAGTCAGAACGTCTTTCCTTTTCCTAAAGTTTCGGTCTAACTCCCCGCACGAACCCTCCGCTAACAAGGACCCCAACCGGCCCCAACTGGAACTTCATTCAGCATTCCCATTCCAGAGTGCAGGCTTTCAAGTATGAAGCCATTTCGGCCGCGCTTCCGCTCCAACTCATTGCCGCCGTCGAAAGTTATGATACTCAGGGTTTGCGACCGATCCCCGTTAAAAGTGACAATGGACCTTTTCCGAGAAGCGTTCTGCGCACGCGCGAGCGCCCGATGCCAAGCGGTGGAAGTCGGCACGAAAAATTGAGGAAATTCGGAAGGAGGCTCTATAGATCGACGAGTAGAACACGTAATTGCAGCATATATATAATTGTGTTACACAAAAAAAGAAAGAGGACGGAAAGAAAAACACGACGTTTGGGTGGACGCTACGGATGCCCCTCTTTAAAATCGCGTTGTGCACGCGACGCAGCTCAGAGAGCGAAGCAACTGGTAGCGTAGCTCCCATTATCGATTGGTGGCGTAGGTAGGTCACTTCCTCGATTTTTAGTTCGTGCAGCCACCGCCTGGTGCCGTCGGTATTTGGGAAAGGTTCATTGAGTTGATAATGCAATTTGTGCTGTTACAATAAGCTGCCGGTTTCACGTCGCCAACGCATATTTCTGCACACACGAACCGGATCGTGCAAAGTCACGTGGCGCAAAGCGCATAGCCGGTTGACCTGCAGTAATTAGCTTCTGCAACGCTCAGACGTGAGTAGGGGAAGGGTTCCACGCTCGCCTTTGAGTATTTCCGGGGTAGTTGCGCTTATGCAAAAACATCAATAAGCATTCAACAGGAAAAACAAAACAAAACGCAGATTGCTTTCTGGGGAAAAAGGCATAAAGGGGGCGGGGGCGACGTTGCACTATCTTGACTCATTCCACGTGACAGTTTAATGGGCTGATATTCTTCTGGTCTAGATTTGTTGGCGCTCCAAGTAGTCTATGCGCTTCTTGAGACAAACTCAAGGCCTGTTGGCTTTACACACTCAGTCAAACATGCACACCCTGGCCGATCCAACAAGTGATTCCAGAAAAAGGGACACTGCGCTTTCGCGTTTCCACAGAAGAGGGACACTGCGCTCTCGCGGAACTAATGGCTTCACCTTTTTACCAAGATGTTTTTTTTTTCCTTTTGGCCAAATGGTCGAAATGTAATGACTAAATGTCAGTAAATCGTTACTCAGAGAGTAATGGAATCACTTTACAAATTGCATTTTAGAAAATGTAAGGGATTAATTACTTTATAAATAAGAGCGTAAGGGATTGCAAATAATCATATTACTTGTAACGGATTCCTTTTATGTCTGGATTCGCTACGTCTGAATGTGCCGTTCCTGTGCATATGAGTGGTGCATGTTGTGCTTGTTGCTTGTAAATTTGTTGCTCGCAAGAAATATATCTTAGAGGCTGCTCAGATCGCCTGCATATAGAGAGAGAAAGAGAGAGAGAGAGAGACAAGGAAGGGCGAGCATGCTGTGACGTCAGAGCGCCGACCTCTGATTGGAAGGATAGTGGGTAGGCACAAAGGCTAGCGTCCGGCATTCAAGCGCCAGGCAGAGAAGCGAGGAGCAGACGACGCTCTGATTTGCTCTGATTGGAAGGAAACAGTAGACAATCTTGCACACGTTACTCGACAAAAAAAAAATCAATTACGGTAACAATTATTCTTGCTCAAAAAGTATTCAATTAGTACTTGACTACTCAAGATGAAAAGTAATTGGCAGTACTTGAAGAAGTAACCGTTACGTTTCCAATTCCTTCATACTTTCAGAAGGAAAGTGTTTTCGGCCAGTTTGAAATCGGGTCTTTCATGCTGTCCATTATTGGATTAGAATCACCTACTTATAAACTGCTTATCTTCTTAATCCACGAATTTTGGTAAACGACACTCGTGTCAGAAATTTGGTTCTACGATTCCTTGGTAGGAAACTTGTACGAACTAAGGACGCCATTAGAAACGGAGGAAAACAAAAGTGATGGTAACAAGTAATGTTAGTACTTTGAAATGTAATCTGATTAATGTTGCGATTAATTCCTAATGAGCGTCTTTAAAAACTAATTTGATCACTTGGGATGAGTGCCGTACAAGTGTGAGAATGGGAAGGCACTAAGACATCTGGCCTTTGAGTTTGCCCACTCTCCTTCCAATCAGAGCTCGACGCTCTGACGCCACCACAAGCTCACATCTCCTCTCTCTCAGTGTCTCACCGTATTGTGTTTCTAGGTTGTTCACCAGCAGCCTATAGGTGTTCCTGTAACACCCTTAAGGTGTTAGCTCTGGGACGAACTGACTTACATCTTTAAGGGTGTAACATTTTTGTGTGTGCACTTTTTATGTTGCCCGAAGTCGATGCACTTTCAATGCATTGGCTCGGTCATCAAGGCTGGACTAAATAGATGTCTACACTTGTTTTGATTTTGTGTAAGAATTATTCTCAGCATTCATTAGGTTTCTTGTATTGAGAATCTTACACTTTGCTTGACTCGCAGGTGTTACCGTGAATGCTCTCCATCCTGGCATGATCGAGACCGGAATATCCGATGGCCTTGTGGGCAGGGATCTTTATTTTAAAATCAACTTTTGGATATTTGGAAAGGTAAGTTTTATGCAGTTCTTACATTTCATTTTAAATTGAGTGTTTTATTATACCTAGCTAATAAATCCGTCAAAATAACGAACAGTGCACTTAAAAAAGGAAATACACTTTGTATTGTAAGAAGCGCAAGTGTGGGTCACTAATATTGTGATGACTCAAGGGCTTGGTGTATGATGAAGATGCTTTCTACTCCAGCTCAGAATGCTGGCCGACGCACGCTCGTCGAGATGGCTTAAAATGTTTAAGAAAACTCTTTCTAGAGAATCTCAAAATGAGAAACAAATATACAAGAGATAAAATGAACAAAAACAATAATCTATTAAAAAAATTCGAGCTAGATTATATAGGCACTAAAGTTGATCTTTAGATCATTAATTTATGGCGCAAACCCAGAGTATGCGGCCTCGGCATTCTAGAAACTCTCACATTATAATCATCCATATATTTTTGTCAGTTAAAAACGCAACCAAAGGCCGCGACTTTTGAGATACCCCCCCCCCCCCCCCCCCCAAAAAAAAAAAAAAAAGTACTATCGCGATAAGAGGTCGCGTCTTTAATAGAGAAAAAAATTTGAGGTGTCATTTGTAACTTTGGGGTTTTCCATGATGTTTAAAGGGCCATAAAAAGACGATATCAAAACCCAGTTTCTTCAGCGCAGCCAACTGGTTTTTATACTTCGTCTCATTCTGCGATGGACTAAAGGCAAAAGCTACGGACCGCCAACTCCAATCACCAGCCACTTTGAAATTGCGCGGTATTTCGATTGATGCACGTGTCGGTGGCCGCGTCTCGGATCCCTGATGAGGATGGGCGGACAGTGATTCGAATCGAATACCACTGAGTTCGTGACTCTGAAAATTTACATCGCAAATCTAAGCCACAACATAAAGGCTACTTGCAGTGTCGCGAAGCTATATAAATGAGGCAGCGCTCTTTGATTCGGAACATTATTCGTCCATCCCTAATCAATATTAAGCATGTCAAAAGTTAGCTAATTGGAACGTGAATGGACCTGGCGACCTGTGGCTTTGGCCTTTAGTCTGTCGTAGAGTGAGACAAAGTATAGACGAACGCAATAATCTGGGACCAGCACTTTGAATTCTAAGCGGCTGAACTCGGTGTATCTTACGCGTAACGTATAAATAAAAATGAATGATCACAGCCGTCGTGATTAGACTGTAAAGTGCTATTAGCATGGAAAGGGTTCAGAAAAGCTCATACAGCCTCGTTCACTCCAGTCAAACCAGCTTATGAAACGATGGGCATGGTTCGGTACGTTGTCGCTTCGCGATTCTTTCTTTGGTGTTCTCATCGGCTAATGGTGATTGGTTGTGGAGCGAAAGGGTGCTTGGGACTCACCACGCCCTGCGTCTTTTAATGTATGAAGCTATATATGGACACCAAGTCTTCCAAAATGGGGCTTTGACGCGTCGGAATGCGAGAAGGAGCACGCCAACCAAAAGGCAACGTAAAGAACGCCCAGGGAAGGCGTGATGCCGAGGCAGAAACACGTGTGGGCGCGTTTGGGGGTAAACAAATGGAACGAGGTGCGCAAGGACCACAAGAACTTGCACACCGCATAGCGTGCGCGGTCAACTAAAAAAAAAAAAAAAAAAAACCCAATAAAACTGTGGTTCTGAATGATGTTCTTCAGAACCATGTCTCGTGGAGCAGGTGGCCTATGCTTGGAATAATTGATTCCGCAGTCGACGATCCATATACTGAGTCTTTACATCTAAACTGAGGTGTGAAATTCGGCACTACCCAAGCTGGATGATACCTGTTTTGTGAATTCACACCGACTGTGCGGCATACCTTCAAATTAATAAATGGGCCAAATTAACCCCCAGCATCTTGATGGAATATGTGTCGTGGAATCGTGTATAGAAAACTTGAAGGACGCTTCAGCTGCGCCTCTAAAAGTGGAACACAATAGCGGAACATATAAACATATAAACTCCAGCTCATTCCAAAGCCTTGCAAGCGTGCCTTGCGTGGCCTTGTCAGTATGGTGTCTGGCCCACAACCGAAGGTTTGTGGGTTCGAAACCTTCCTAAAATTCTTCAAATGTTTCTTTAAAGCAAATGAACTACTTTTAAAGTGAAATTATTCAGACATCCGGAGACCTTTGATTTGCACATGTTTTTAATTCCTTTCGTTCCGCGTCACGCTTCACGTGATCGTTGTGGGTTGTTTAAACTCGCGCGAGGTCATGTGGCTGCGACGTCATCTTCTTATTGAACAATCAGGATTTTCGCGGCACCTCACCGACGCCGTCTTTTCTGCCGTGCCACCGATTTTTGGCGACAAAACCGTTGAACTGGGGCGACATGGCATCATAATGCGGCGGAAGAAGAGAACGTGAGCAGCGTTGTGTTACTTATAGATATCGATGGAAACTGATGAGGCTGCGCGTGTAGACAACAATTGCGGCGCTGCAGTCGACAGGGCAGCAGAAAGTTGCTGCAGTCCGCATGTGCCACAACACGTGCGCGTGCACATGGTGCACGCGCACAACCAGCACCATACTGCAACTGTAACCATATTGACTCTACTGCCGATGCGTTGGTGTCGACACCTATAGCGATCTACACCGCATGCCTTACGCGAGCCGCACCGGTCCCAGCACTACCCCGTATTCTAGTACACTGTATTTATAGGGCGGTCTCACTTGACGTGCTTGCACCCTACCCTAACTCTTTGAATGCATATTAACGAACCTTCGTCGTGTTTTTTTAATGCGGCGATGCATTGTTTTGCAGCTCGCTCGATTTGTTTTGCGTTGCGATTGACTGCGCCAGTCAAAATAGTCGGAAACAGAAATGAGCATCAGGAGATGCTGTACTGTGTCATAGTCCTGACATTATTAGTACTCAAGACAACCGCCGCTTGATTGAAATGGCCCCGACAGATGCGCCAGGAGGACTGACAAAAACGTAACGGAGCATGCCAGAGTTTACGTGACACAAATACGTCTTGAATCGTACATCTATTTTTTCGTCGTCGACGGAAGCCACTCCAATTCTGTGTATACCGATCGTGGGATATTCTCCATCAACTAAGCTGAAATCAACAAAGAAATACCTATTTTGAACACACACACAAAATGTTTAGTAAATATATATTTTTATAATTGACATGCGTTCAAATTAAGTTTTTTTTTGTCTCTAAGTGATAGGTTTTATTAAAAAATATGGGAAATGTTCCACGATTCGGCCACACAGCCTATTGCTTCTTAATGTTCTCAACAACGGAAACGACGCCGATAATAAAATAATTCCTCCCATGCAAAGAAATAGGAAATACCATTATGACAACGTTCATGGCGGAAAGGAAACGGCGTTTTGCAAAGCCCCCTTATAATTGGAAATTATGTAATTATAGTTCTCTTGGTAGTAATCAACGTCTACTCATGCTGTGGCATCACAGCGAGTAGACACGAAAGGTGTGAGATGGATGCAACCATTCGTAGCGGTTAATAATCGAAAAACTCCACGATCAACACCTTAGGAGCCAATTTCTTTATCTTGTCATGATCATGCTGCACGGCTATTTTAGTATCTTGTTTTTCTACATTTTTTGGCTTCAATGCTAGTTATATTTTTGTACTGTCGCATTCTTAAATGAATTCCCGTCACCTATTCCGCTACTGCTAATGTTTTTTTTTTGCTGATGGTAAGATGTTTAATGTGTTTTTTTATTTACATTTGATTGTTACTATTATTTTGAGACTAGATCATGTTTCAACGAAGGTTTTAAAAATCGAGGCTTTTATTTTTCTTTTTGCTTTCTCTTCCTTCTTTTTGGAATTTGTAAATCATTTCGTGTTCCACGAAATGATTTACAAATTCGTGTTCGTGTTCCACATTTCCTTTATTAAATAGCTAGCGCACTATAACATTCCAGCTAGGTGCCTTATACAGATGTTTTTATTTCTGAAAACTTTGTGTCACCCACCTGAATATACCCTAGATGGCTTAAGTTTCGCAAATTTTGCGACTTCAGATATATCGTGAACAATTTATCATGCGAATATATTACCCTGTCACAGGGGTGGGCAACTTTTTGTTGCAGGAGGCCAAATCACCATAAAGCAGAGGCGGAGGGGGCCGGACGGAGAACGGAGAGAGAGGGGGGGGGGGTGTTCATTTTGCAAAAATTTAAGATAAAAATGAAAAATACTCTCACATACTAAAAGCAGACATGTACACCCGTGAGCGACATGAAGTGAACAGCCCTTTTCTTGTTTTTGACGCTCCTGCAAGTTTTGGAACAAGCTCTGTTCCTGAAGAGGGATAGAACGCAAAGTTTAGACCCAAAGCTACGTGCCATTTGAGACGTTGAGATTTAATATAGCTTTAGGGAGCCGTAAAGCAGGCAAGAAACCAGGTAAAATGTTCACCTTCATATTGCTGGCGGGTGTACAAGTTACTCAAAAAAGTAATTAAGTTAAGTTACTTAGTATAGTCCTCATAATTAGTTTGAGTAGAGTAGAAATTCTTAAAATGGAAAGCTGATAATTGAGTGCATTACTAACTACCGTAAAAAAAGTAGCGAATTCCTTTTGAAGATACTTTTATATTTTTTCTGGTAACGTGAAAGTACATAGAGTTTGGTCTGTTTGCGAAATTCTGCTAGCCAGAAATAAATCGGCTTGTTTTTTTACAGAAATGCCTTAATAGCTGGTTCTGCTTCTGCTTGCATAATTGTTTTTTTTTTGGTCCATTACGTAATGTGGATGTATCATTTATACTTTCAGGTTTAGCACTGCCTCTGCTTAATTTTGCAGACAGTGTTTGCCTGTTTACAGTTTTGCGTAAAGTAAATCCAAAAGTATTTGAAGTAAAGTAGAAAGTTAATAAGAGGTTATGTATTTCAAGTATAGTAGTAAGTACACCTGGTGCAAAGTACTTAAAGGAAAGTTCTATAAATACAATGTACTTGCAATGTAAATTACAAGTATTTAACACAATCTTTCATGATGCCCTTTCATCCCCTATACAGTTTTTTTTAACTAATATGCGTTATTCCAGGGGTAATCAAAGGTGCATCAGTTTTTGGGAAATGGTGGCAAATATTGGATAAAGTCACTTCGCCATAGGACGAACTATTCAACACAGTCAACTTATAAGACACTTATTTTTTATCGGTCTTATAGCTGCCATTACTTCACTCAGAGAAACGACCAGATGACATCTCGAAAAACGATGGCGCGTTTTTGCATGACGATATGCCATTTTTTGTTTTCAAATTCGGGGAATGTATTTTGAAGTCTGGAGTTGTACGTACCTCAGAAAGTGCCAGAAAAAAATATTTTAGAAAAAGGCAAGTACACGCTCAGAGAATGTACTTTAAATAAAGCTCATGTTTTCTAAACCTACCTGAAGCGGTACTTTAAGTACCATGTACTTAAACTACTTCCCAACACTGCTTGTTTATTAATTTTGTTACGTAAAAATGCTGGACAAATTACTAAGTTTTCTCATACGATCTGCGAATCTTGGAAGACCTGGACATTTTTAGTTTATGGTGGAAAGTCAACGCGTTGAGGTCACCTTTGCGTTCCCCTTTAGCACGCGATTCTTGAAGTAGAGCACAAACTACGGGAGCACCGGATGAGCTTTAGAGCGGGTGCTGCATTTTGTTGCCTCCTTTGAGTGAGGATTCAGTGTGTACACTTCCTGTAGTGGGCGAGAGTTCATAGACTGGGGAGAAGCGTGGACAAACCCTTCCTTCAAATGCGTCAAGTGTCCTCGAGCTTCGGGACACAAAGAAACTCCAGTCTTCGGCGCAAATCCTACAGTTGTTCGGCCTCAGTTGCGATATGTCTGCCCGCTCCCCGTGCCTCGTAGCAGGGTTGTTGCAGTGGGGGATTCGTGCAGATTTTAGAGGGTTCCGGATCCTCCAACTCCTGCCCACGCCACATGCTTTCCCTTCTTTGCCAATATCAACTGATCTTCCAAGATCTTTTCCCTTTTAGTGCAGGAATGTTTGTTGATACGCAAATTTACCACTAGAATTCGAAAGTAATTTGTAACTTGAGTAGAGGTTACTCAGAAAAAGCAATTAAAGTAAAGTACTAATTACCGAAATAAAAATGAAATTGAAACTTACTAAACTACTCAAAAAGTAATAGAAAGTTACGAAACTACAGTAACTTGAGTAGAGTAGTTGAAGTATGTACAAGTCTGACTAAAAGTGATGTAAAAAGGTAATATCTTGATTCAGGCACACGTTACATAAAATTGCTCGCGTCCCCTCGCACTAAGATTTTAGGTGTTCAATATTGCTTAACAGGATGCAAACATTCACATTTAAACTTGTAACACAGAGTCGTAAATCATCTTGGTGGCGCTGATCTGTAATTTGCTAGAACTACGTTTTACATCAGTCTTCTTCTTGAAAAAGTATGTTCGCTGATATACTATACGCGGTGTAGTGAACACTTCGATCAGGTTCGCTGCAGGACTTCGTAAATTTGAAAACTTTAATTCATTGAAGCCAGCGGAAAACTAAACAAAGTCGCTCGCTACACATGCATTATTCAGCGTATTGCCCGTTTGGGGATCGGCATGATCAGCGAATTATATCTGGCAAAGCTCTTGAACTTGTTGAGAGTTAATGCGGCCGGTTATAAAGGGTTTTCAACTAAACATACCTTTTGTCCTTCTGTTTGGGGGCGGGGGGGGGGGGCATTTTTGGTGGCGTGCCAGGGGCCTTATATTATTTTTCGGCTAGCCGCATGCGGCCTGCGGACCGCCGGTTGCCGACCCCTTCCCTGTGATAACACCACTCTTATTCAGTAAAATTTGGGACCACAAAATACTTTCGGAACCAACATCTTGTAATGTTCGTGATATATGTAGCCCGCGAAAATAAAGTAGTTTATAGCACTCGATATTACAAGTGCTGTCTCGTTAATATGAACACCTACCGTTGGGATAAGAACGAGTCCTACGTCGCAAAGATGTATGCAATGACCCAGTTCGTTCCTGAATATGATTTCTATAGAGCGGTGTGACCATATTAACGGGGTTTGTATTAACGGGGCATGGCTGTACCAACTCCCATTTTTGCCATAATATTAATAAAAAACTTTGACTTTGACTTTAACGACACCTAATGAACTCACGATCTTTTCAGACTGCAAAAGAAGGAGCTCAAACGTCTATCTACTTGGCTGTTGATCCCAAACTCAGCGGTGAGACTGGTTACTACTTCTCCGATTGCCGGAAAGCCTGGATCAACTGGAGGGCTCGCAACGCCGAGCGGAATCGGGAACTCTTCGAGACGTCCGTGAAGCTGACTCATCTCGAAGACTCGGTAGTGAATAAACAAATTTTGAATGACAAATAAAAATGAAGGACGATTCCAAAGCGAACGATTCCTGGATCAGTCAGATGTATACTCAGACCATAGACAGTCGAGTTATAAACCCTTTTAAAAACTCTGCAGTGATATAATCATTTCCGTATACTCCGTTTCACTTTATGTCCGACTGCAGCCGACGCTACAAGTCCTAGGGTGCTAACCAAGGAACGCTAGAATGGTATGCGGAGCGCAAGTTTGTCCGCTTCATTTTCAGGGGTTGTGGTGACGTCAGAAAGACGCCGAGCTCTGATTGGTTCTGATTGAATGATAGTGGGTAGACCTCAAAGCAAGCTGCCTTTAGGTCTACCCACTATCTCCCTCCATCAGAGAGAATCAGAGCTCAACGTCGTTCTGACGTTAAGATAAGCAGACGGACTTGCGCTGCGCGTAGTCACTGCGCTCATCGTCTTTGTGCGTTAGGTGTCGCCGACTACACTCTAAGAAATGCCTGCGCGTCTACTTAACCGCAAAACACTCAAAGAGCCATTCTCTGCGATCTAGGAATTCAGCTCAGCGAATGATGAGGCGGAACATCCGTTTAGACCTAGAAATTAAGTCTGCGCTGTGGCATTAGGCAATGCGAAGCGTCATGCTTGCATTGCGTAATGCCACAGCGCAGACTTAATTTTTGGACTCAACAGATGTTCCGCCTCATCATTTGCTGAGATGTGTTTGCAGATGGCAGTGATTGGCTCTTCGAGTGTTTTGCGGGTAAGTAGACGCTCAGGCATTTCTTAGAATGTAAAACATTGACGCACAGTACATGCGCCTCGATTTTGAGATTTTTTTTTTATGCGTGATTCGTTTAGCCGCTGATGGCAAATCTATAAAGAAAACAAGCGCCGTGATGTTGCACTTTTGGCGTTGCTTGATTGGCTACAACGAATTGTAACCTTGGCTGCGGTCGGACTTGAAGTGAAACAGAGTACGCGGAGAGCAAGTCGTCTGCCTCTTGCGCGAAAGTTGCGCTGAGGACAAAACGACGCCAAGCTGTGATTGGCTTTGATTGGAAGGATAATGGGTAGATCTGATTCCTCGAGATGCCTCGAGGTCTACCCACTGTGAAAGAAGCAGACAAACTTACGCTCACCATAGCTAATAAAAATCAATAACATTTGAAGGCGGAAGTGTCCTATTTAACGGAGTAGTGACACGCTGCCGTGAACAGTGTACTCGGAGTTTTTAGGGCAAACTATTCTTAGAGTACACGTGATTTCCAACGGTAGAAAATTGTGGTGTGTCTGCGTTGAGAACGCCAAGGTGTTGAACCCTTCTAGACTAGAGATGTCGTGGTGTAAATGTGAAGCTGGGATTTGAGATTTGTTAAGATGCAGTAATGACATGCTACAACTGTTTTCTAATACCAGTTTACAGTGATTGAGTTACGGCTCTAATCAGCTTAAGAGAGGCAGGGTGCGGCTTATTACGTAATGTTCCTTCGACGTTCTTAACAACTAAAGCTCCGTTCCCATTGGCGGTTGAACAATAAGGAGAGGCGCGGGGCCCACCACGTTCTGCGTTTTTTAAACTGTCGTGTTCAACCAAGTTGGACTTTTCCAGATTCTAACACGAAATTCGACCATGGTTGAACTGAAGTTCGACTATCGAACGTATGCGCCGAAATTTGAAAACCAGCTTACACCCCCAATAGGACAAAAATTCCACTATTTGTCGAGTATATTGTTTTATGGTTTCACATTAATAAACAAACTAAAGCATGCAAAGTACATAATTTTGCTTTGATGTTGTACAAGCATTGGTATTCATCTTTGTAAAATATTAAATAAACTACCCTGGTTTCCGGACTAAAGTGCGCACCCGGTGTATAGTCCGCAAAGACAAATTTGGGGTCAAAATAAATGTTTTTGCTTAAATAGTCGGCATTCGGTACCTATTCCGCACCTGATGCTTAGCCCATACAAAAATCTTCTCGTGGACGGCACACCTTAACAAAATGTCTGCTTTCTTAGATCCCAAAGAAGCCTATAATATGCGTAAATCATAATTAACATACTCTCATTAACGAAATTCGTCTCCTCTCGTCGCAATCAACGGTATTGAAAAAAAAAATCCCTTATAGTCCGCGCGCGGAGATAGTCCACATAGCCCAAACTTTCAACTTTTAAAGATGTATCGTCCGCGGACTACAGCTCGAAAAATACGGCACTTGATGCGTTATTTGTTTCTCAAAATTGAAACGTTCCGCGCACTCTGTCCACAAGTCGAACTACGTCGAACTTTGTTGTAAGATCAAAGGTTCACCGCACCAGTCGACAAAAGTGGGCGACATTTCTATGTATAACTTTGTCGCAAAGTTGTAAGGTACAGCACAACCGGAGTTACAAAGACGCGCTCAGTTATTTGGCCGAAATCCGTTCGATTCACGACGAAGCTTCGAACAAAAAAATAATTTAGGTGTTGCTCTTTGGAAGTAACAAATTCAGGTTTTGCGATGCCTCGCAATTAGCATAATATAAATAACGATAAGGATAAGGTTTATTCAGGCAAAAATACAAATAGGAAGCCACTGGCCCGCTTAAGCGTAGAACATCTGTATACGGGGCCCGGCTGTGCATTCGTGGGATTTAAAACATGTAGTCATAAAACATGACTGAATTACACATCCTCACTAAGCAATTTTTTACAGTGCACAATTTGTGATATTAGAGAGCAGTGTACATTACAAAACATTATGACATCTGGTAAAATTAAAGAAACGTGCATTGTAAAAAAGTACTAAAAGTATAAAAAAAGCAAACAATAGACATAATTTGAAAACATTGACAACCTGCAAACACTAGTCGTTCTATTCAACATGACTAGCAGGCAACGTGACTTCTTTATATGATCGTATCGAGACTGTTAGAGCGTCAACTTCCAGCCTCCCAGTTAATTTGATTTGGTCATAATTCACTAACCCCTGCAGTTTCGGATCTCTCGATGATGGGGTCGGGCAACAAGGGCTCTCCCGGCGAAAACCCAACCTTCCTGATCTTCATTTGCACTTCGGGGTACGAGTAATGATGCAGTCCCGTCACTTCATAAAGCTGCGACCAGTCGATGCCGTCGGCGTAGCTGGGGTGCCGCCCGTTTAGGTTGAGGCCGTTTAAGTTGCTGTGATGGCAGCTAGTGTACCACCAGCCTCCTCGAAACTTCTCCGCGCAGTTATCGCCGTAAGAATCGTGGTCCTGGTCGAATGTGCTGAAGTTCGCACCATCCGCGTAGCTGAAGGAGTCCGACCCTGTCAATAGAAGGGAAGACAGGTTGTAGACCAGGCGCACGTGCCTGCATCCAGGAGATAACAGCGGGAGTGACCACGAATGATGATTGTCTCAGACCTTTAATGAGTAGATACCAGGGAGTCTTAAGGCGCGCTCACGCTTTTTATGCATCATACAAAATGCAGTCTGAAATGGTCTAAGGTGTGTTTCTCGCTTTTATGGCGGGGCTGTTTCATTAGTCATACAAAACGTTTGGGCTTCAATCCACGCTGTGAACGCGGTTGAACAGCGAGTCTGTGGAATTATCTGCAACGATGGCCCACTGCACTAAAAACCCTTTTAATGGCAAAAGTCACCAGGTGGTGTTCCAGTCCTTAACGTCCCAGAGAACTTCCCCATTATAAAAACGATTAACAAAGGACATCTTAACACCGCTGCGTCACATGTAGATGAAACATTTAACCACCGATTCTCCAGGTGTACACCAAAATAACGAAGGAGTGCGAGATATGTTAAAATGTTTCGAGTATTCTTATAAACCAGCTTGTCTTCTCCAAGGTGTAATATTGTACAGCCGGATGCCCTCGTTAAATCTCCAACTTTGTTGTCAGTGTAGCGTTTACGCTTTCTAGCATTGGTGACATAAGCATGGCTCAACACACTTACAAAGACGGTGCGATCGGAAGTCGCTCGGCACTCAAGCGGCAGTTCATGTTTGTAAGCAGCAAAAGGGTCTATACCAAATGATCTAGGAAAGAAAAGTAAATGCACTGTGCCAAAACATTTCTATATATGAAAAACTTCGTACACTGCCATTTCCGCGGCAGCTTATGCAACCCCAATCATTACCGAGAAACGCATGCGGGGAGCGCTAAGCGTTATCATCGTTCGTGCGCGCCTTATAAGCTCTCGCGTGGTTTTGACATTTGTTTTCTGGTTTTCTTATTGAAACAAGTGTCAAAACCACATTACAAATAGTAAGGCATGCGCGAAAGGTGATAAGGTTCGCGCGTAAGTTTTCTGTCGACGGACACAAAAAAAATCCCACTTGCGAGTCGTATACAGATTCGCAGTAAAAGAACCTCAGTAAGGGACGTTGTTTGGCAGGCTTGAATCCACTCGTTATTACTTCACGAGCACCCAGCGATTACAAGCATGCCGAAAAGTATACCTTCGCGTGCATGCTGCACGCGTTTGAGGCTTGTCGGTATTTGCTGTTTTTGTTCGTCGCTCTGGTGGACCTCGAACATAAGAACGCAAAAGGACAAACCAAGGACCGAAAATGTAATCATGATAAGCCACGCCCTGCGTGTTTAAGCGGCCAGTGACTATATATAGAGAGCATTCACTGGCGGCCATAGCTGTGTGCGAAACTGCTGAGCACGTGGCTGACGGCGACCCTCCAGAGTTCTTTTGCAACTTGCATTCCACACCATCAAAACTGCCGGTCTTAGTAGCCCACAAATGTGAGGTTGTTCTGAGCAAGCGCTCTAACCATATGCCTGAAATTTGGCGTCCGGCGAATACCTCTCCTATCCTCCCCCCCCCCCCCCCCCCCACACACACACACACACACGACGCCATATTTGAGGGCGCTGTTTAGTATGCACGCTCAGAATGAGCTCACATTAGTAGGCTGCTAAGACCGGTAATCTTCTTGATGGTGAGGAATGCTTTTTACAGAAGAACTCTGGAAGCTCGCCGCCAGCACGTGCTAAGCAGTTGCGCACACTTGCAGTTGCGCACAGTACGCCGCCAGTGAATAGTCCTTATACGCGTACACTT